CCTTTCTAGGTGCAGTTCCTACCACTTTTCGTAGTTGCCAACAGGAGTTCATTCTTACAGAGATGCTGCTTAGAACAGGCAAAGCTGAACAGATTTCTGGTGTGCTGATGGCCGCTGTGCTGTAAGGTGTTGCAAAGGCCAGTGGTGGATCCAGCTGCCAGCACTACTGTGTGTGCTGGGGTTGTGCTGGATGGATTTGTGTTCCTGAACAACATGAGTTTCCTTCAGAGAAAAATGATAATGCAGATGTACAAGGTAACTATCTGAGAAAATCACCGGGCTCCACATGGGTGGACTGTGCATAACAATGCAAATTCATGCATTATTAGCAGAGACCCACTCAACTTTGCATGTTTCCTGGGAGGGTAAATGAGCACCACAACCAGAGAATGATGGAAAAATTGAATAATAGGAGTATTTATCTAAAAGTTGGTCTGGTAATATCTTAACATAGGAATTGAAACTCCGTATTTGTGTATCTAGTACAGTAATCTACAAAAATTCCAGGCTGTTAAATAGTAACATAGTCAAAGGTGACCTTTTCTGTCTCTGGCCTGGTTATTTGCACCTCTTTACCTGGTCATGGGTAAATCGTGTTCAAAATGGAAGTATACATTTAAATGATGGCAAATTGTGCTTAAAAATAATTTTAGTTACTTTAGGAAATGGTTGATAGCGATTTAAGAAATTTTTTTTTTCCTCAAAGTGGATGATTTGTATCTGTGTCCTACTTATGATGAGTAAGCAACACCAGTATCTGGTCACTTAAATCTCTGCTTAGTTCTAGTTGGATGTAGCAGCTCAGCAGGCGTGAAGGACCCCTCTGTACCTCTAGAATGACTAATGCTGTGGTGGCTGTGGGCATTTGGGGAACCCTAAGACTTTGGGGATAGTATCATGGACCTTTCTAAGTGGGATTTGTTAGAGGCGTATAGTGATTGCAACTACCACAGTCATCACCCTGTAGTTTGCATATGCTTGTAGATTGAAGGTGACTCTGAATTAACCCCACGTGTAACATGGGAGGAGGGGGGGAGAGGGAGAAAAGGGGTGGTTTTCCTGGACAAAAGTGTACTATTATAGTCTGCTACGCATTTGTGTAGGGAGTTTACCTTATGAAAAAAATGCTACAAGAGGGTGCTTCAGTGGCTCAGTCTGAAGATGGGGTTGCATATGAGAGGGTGACTTTTCCTCTTGGTCATAGTTGTTCAGAGCTTCTTTTTTCTTTTTAGTTTAAACTTATATCCCAGGCATATGAAGTTCTGTCGGACCCAAAGAAAAGGGACCTCTATGACCAGGGTGGGGAGCAGGCTATTAAAGAAGGAGGCCTGAGTGGCGGCAGCTTCTCTTCACCCATGGACATCTTTGACATGTTCTTTGGTGGTGGAGGCCGAATGAATAGAGAGAGAAGAGGTACACAGTTCTAAACAAGTTCTAGAAACTCTAACCATGCACTTAAGCATAAAACACCTGTGCTGTGGTGCACATAATGTGGTTATTAGTCGTTGCAACAATAGATTACTTTAAGCTACTCTAGCATTAAGATTCTAATAAAGCAGATAACATGATGAAGCCATAGCAATCTTCCTGATGCCTTCCATTTATTTTTTGTTAAAGTGGGTGTGGGTAATCTTGAGGGGAGGGGGAAGCATTGGTAAGTTTAGAGCAGAAGAATTAGACCTGGTTTTAAGTTACTTTTTTTTTCCCAGATCTGTGGCTCATATGCTCGTATGCTTTGGGCAACTTGCTTCAAAGGACACCATCAACTTAAGTAATGTTAAATCTCATGAAATTATTTGGGAAAAATTATGTGAAACGCAGTCTAATGCTGCCAAAACCACTGATTTTTGTCGGTTTCCATGTCCAGTGCCTGTTGAAGGAGCAAGTAGTAACTTGCTGTAAAATGTTTGAAATTATGCTATGAAGTGGCATGGAAACTTATAGGTAGGCAAAACAGCAACTTCTGAATTGATGTGAAGCTGGTAGTGTCCTTGCACCTTGCTGTTTCAGTTAAGCCTGTAAAATTAGGGGTAGGAGCAGGGATAGGGTGGCTTTAATGATGCTTTGCTTAATTACAGCTAAACTTGTTCTGACATTAAGAGGGTGCAGCACAGTGGAAGCTGATGAAACTGCACGTGCTTTTAAGGGGGCTGAGCTGTGTTCAAAGTTTGTAATGAACTTCTCATTTCTTCTATGAGACTGTGCATGTGTGGACAAGTGTAGAAGCCTTTAAATAAACATTTGTCCTTACAACAGCTGAACTAGAATTAATCTCTCTTTTTCCTCTAAAGGCAAGAATGTTGTACACCAGTTAGGTGTATCTCTTGAAGACTTATATAATGGTATTACAAGGAAACTGGCACTGCAGAAGAATGTTATTTGTGGAAAGTGTGAAGGTAAAAACAAGTAGTGGCTTCACACCCCTCTTATTACAAGCTTTTTAGTTCTTTTGTCTTTTAAAGAATATTGGGGGTGGGGCTAGGAATGAAGTGTGGCTGTTCTGCTTTTCTCTCTCCTTCACTCCCTCCAAAAGTCTCCATTTATGTTCTCATTTATGCTTACCCAAGAATAAGACTTTCTTAAACATAGTGATATAAAGTTACAATTCTAATGGCAGAATTAGACTTGCTGTGAATTCTAGTTAAGGGTACCTGAATTATAAGTGTCTTAATCTGGAACTTTATTAAATGGCTGTTTGTTAATATTTTTTATTTGCTGTGGGTAGCAGTCTAGCTTGTATTATGCAACTATTTTTACCACTATTAAGTATCCATAATGACTGGCCTTGTTTGAGGTAAATTTTAATGAGGTCTGTATCTTAGCACTCTATTAAATGTTTAGCAAGCAGATTCTTTTGAAAGTATTAATGGAATGTAGGTATTGAAGTTGGGAGGCTGTATTGGGAGGTGGGGCAGAGGTTCATCAAACAAGCTGTGCATAGAAGACTTTCTTTTTTTGTAAGACTTCCAACTGGTGGGGCATGTTTTGTGATGGAAACTAAATTGCTGTTTCATTGGAAATGCATTAGTGAATGACTCTTTAGTTGCTCAAAAGGTGCTCTTGAAGTCAATGAGTTCCAGCCTGACTACAGTAGAGTGACATCTTATTTTTTGAGACTAAGTTCAGATTTAACCTTTTTGTCAAAGGTTATGGCGGAAAGAGAGGGGCAGTGGAGAAGTGCCCTGTGTGTAAAGGAAGAGGAATGCAAGTTATAGTTCAGCAGATTGGACCTGGCATGGTACAACAAATCCAAACTGTGTGTCCAGAATGCAAAGGCCAAGGTGAAAGAATAAATCCAAAGGACAGGTGTGACAACTGCAATGGCTGTAAGGTTGTAAGAGAAAAAAAGATCATAGAAGTTCATGTTGATAAAGGTAAGGACTGTCTGTCTGTTCTGTGTCTCTAATCATGGTCTATAGTGCTGCAGAGAATAAATGGCTTTGTTTTTTCTCCAGGCATGAAAGATGGTCAGAAGATAGTATTTCATGGAGAAGGTGACCAGGAGCCTGATCTGGAGCCTGGCGATGTTATAATTGTGCTTGATCAAAAGGATCATAGTGTCTTTCAGAGGCGAGGGCATGACTTAATCACAAAAATGAGAATTCAGCTCTCAGAGGCTTTATGTGGTTTCAGAAAGACCATTGAAACTCTGGATAACAGAGTTCTTGTTATATCATCTAGGCCAGGTAGGTCTTAAAAGAGTTCTGATGCTATATGAACTGCTTGCCTGTGTCACTGTGCCTGGACTGGGGTTTTCTGGGGTGTTTGTGGTACACTTTGGTTTTGGGTGTTTTAACCAGTTGATGAAATGGATTCAGACTATACTTGCAATCATTGAATTTAGCTGGTGGTTTGTCATTCTTGTCACTCATTCTAAAACATAACATGCAGAGTTGTAGTAGCTAAAGCTGTCAAAGGCTTCTCAATAAACTGCAGCCTCGGTGGAAAGCCAGGAAAATATTCAAGAGGCTGGAAACTTAAAATCTACTAGATTATCTGTTGATTCAGCATGAAGGCTGTGCTAAGAGAAGCTGAGTCTCTTCCAGTAGGGGAAATGGCCTGTATAGTCTGGTTGTAGGGCTCCTCAGTCTGCAGCCTTTTCTGTGAGTTTGTCTTCCTCAGATGCAGTGGGAACAGTGCTTGTGTATCACCCTGCTTTTCAGGGTTATGAAGGAAGTGTTCATCACATAAGCTTACTTAAAGTTCTTACCTCTGCGTAGGTGAAGTGATAAAACATGGTGACCTGAAGTGTATCTACAATGAAGGAATGCCTGTCTACAAATCTCCAATGGACAAAGGCAGCTTAATTATACAATTTCTGGTGAGTTGACTGCTTTTCTGTAGCAAAGGTGGCTGTGTTGGCATCAGGAGGAACTAACTATTCATTAAAAAAACCTGTATGAAATTGTAGGTCCAGTTCCCAGAGCACTACTGGCTCCCAAGGGAGAAACTGAGTCTGCTGGAGGCCCTGCTTCCTCCACGAGAAGATGTTATGATTACGGATGAGATGGATCAGGTAGACCTTGAAGATTTTGATCCAAGTGAGCAAACCTACCGTAACAGTGGGGGAGAGGCATATGAAGAAGATGAGGAGGGTCCAAGAACAGGAGTACAATGTCAGACATCTTAAAGCAAGGTGAAGTGGATGTCATCTAAAATGTAAATTTTCACAATGAAAACTGCATGGCTGTAATAGCCACTGCTTGTGGTTTTTGTGTTCAGCAAATTGAGTTGCTGCGCTGTCAGTATCACCTTTTTGTAACTAATTTATATTGTGTTCTTGTAGTCTTTATATAATGCAAAATGTCACACAGCTGAGAACCAACTGAGTCGGTATACATTTTCTTTTGCTGTGAAGGTTCTCACTTTATTTCACCTATGCTATTTATATAAGACTTGGGCAATACTGATAGAGGCTAAGTGGAGTGTCTCATGTAAATACTTTCATACTGGAAAATTAATTTCATAGAATAAAACATAGCAGAAATAACTTCTAATAAATAGAACTCTTCACATTTTATTATGCTTGTCTGGTACTTTTCTGAGCCACTCGAATAGTCTTCACTAAGTTTATTAACCTAGTCCAGGTTGTTCTCCATATTCAACTCTAGTACTTGTCTCATTTTGTGTTTCAGAACCATTTTGCGTCTCTTCCCTGTGTTCTTTTGTTGTGTCAGGGTAGCATTCCTTCAGCTGCTTAGCTGTATGTAACCTGGGGTCATAAAGTATCACCCTGTGTATAGCGTGTACCCATACTTCTAATTCACATACAGGCAAATACTTCCAAATAAAAGTTTGATCTTTCACAAGCTAAGCTCTCTATTTCAGCCTTTCCTAGAAAGTGTTTTTACTCACTGCTACGTATTATGTACTTGAGCCTTCACTAGGATGAATAAACTGAAACCACATTAATTCCAGCCCAGCCAGGATTAGTACACAGCTGCTGTTTGATAATGTAGTAAGACACCATTGTAGAATGAGCACATGGAAGCTTGCTTTTGCTTTTATCTAGTTTTTAGGCAAGTTGGAGACAACAGCCCTTCTTAGTGAAATTAAACCATGATGCATGAGCTATGTGTCATCATCTGACTGCTGGAACAGGTGCTGAGCTTAAGTGACCCTATTGAGTGCAGGCTCTCATCCCCCATGCACACAGCCACTGCTAAAATAAGCTGCTGTGAGCCTCGATAACCACTTTCCAGCCCTAGTCTATTTATGTCTCAAGGCAGGGATGATTAACCAAGCAGTAACTTCACCCATGACTCCGTATTTCAAAAAATAAATTTTTCCAAGTTACTTGCAGCTGTAGCTTTTATTATTAAAAAAGTAAAGCTTTCTCTCATGCCAAACACAATCAAAATTACATATAAACAGAGCTGAGATTCTGCACATCACCATTATCACAATGCTTTTATCATACTAAAAAAAAAATGACACAGAAGGATAGTATTCCAAACTGCCACAAGAGTTAACCAGAGGGAATGAGTCAAGACATTTAAACAGGACAGTCATAAATATGAATTTCTTGGTCATCTCCAACAGACACAATTTTGGACCCGCTTCCATTGTATTTCACTCCCCAAACCTGTAAATAGGACATAGACCAGGTTATCAACAGGAGATTAAGAAAAAATGTCTTCATAGCAGCTGTATTTACTGACCACAACAAGCAGAACATGGGACCATTATTTAAGATCACCTTATTAGAGCTGGTCCAATTATGGCTTCTGCTTTCACAGCAGATGGGGATGATGAACCAGAGGATACTGCCATCTAGTAGCCTGACAAGTTCTGACATTCCACTCCTGAGAGTGGATTACACAAGCTAAAGGTACTTTAAAAACTTGGCAGAAATCACACCTAATGTTTTCACTCTTGCCCATCCCATCTTCCTCTCTGAAAAAGAGCATTTTACAGGACTTTGAGGAAAGTAAGAGAGGAAGCAGTTTTCATGCAGACTGACGCATCGTGATAGACTGAAGAGTGACCCAATTTCTCCCTGGGCTACTTCAGAGAGTCATTTACTTACCAGAGCAAAATAGAAAAATTCAGGTCATACTTCTGACTTGATTTAAACCAGTTACACAAACTCCTGTTAACATGGCACTGGAGTGGGGATGTTGAGAACAGCATGTTTTGGGCATCTTGTATGCCATTCTGCATTAATACCTAAAACCAGCCTTCCCAAGAGCTGGTAACATCTTTGCCTTCCACAAACTTACCAGGTTATAGACAACAGCTAAAGCAAGACTGGAGATCCAGTTCTGCTTGGTACTTAAATACTAAAGCCCCAATAGCTGTAGATAACTGAAAAGAAGGTTCCCAACAAAAAAATACTATGGAAGAAAAGACCCCAAATAAAATTTGAAAGAATTTCCTTGTTTAAGTCTTTCTCTATGATCCATTAAAAACCAATGTTGTTCTAATGTTTAGGAAGAGAGCAAGTCGGTAGATACCAAACTTCCCTCATGGGTAGTTATGACTGAGCAAAAAACCAAGGTATTACAGTCACCTGAAGAGGAAAAAAGTCCCAGCTCTCAAGGGTGCTTTCAAGCATCTTTTTTAATAATTCCATCCTTTTAAATAAGTATTCTTCCCCCTTCCACGTGCACATGCTGTGTAAGTGATAAAAATAAGACCATAAGCAAAAGTCTGGTAAGAATCCTTCCTGGCCACAAAGGATTGCCCTTATTTGGACCTGAAAAATGTAATTAACTACTTGGAAGAGCTCAACCTACACACTTGGAGTATTAGTTCAATATTAAGTGCCAAATAATCATTAACAACTTTTAGGATTTCGTTACAGCAAGCTGATAGCCAACCCCGAAGCTATAGCGTCAAGCTGAAGCACAAATAGGAACATGGTGACTTCAACGAAGAGTAGACATACCTGATCTTGGTGGTCAAAGAATGTATGAACACAGGTTCTTGTTCCAGCATCCCAAACTTTTACGCTTTTATCAGATGAACTGAAGGAAAAGTAGTATTGATGAATGTTTGAATTAGCAGATTAAGTACAGTTTAGTGCAAAGCTTAAAAGATCTTATATGATAGACATAAGAAACCCTCTTACACCCATGAAATACAGGGACAAAGTAGCATCTTTCACCAGGCTCCAGTTACCTTTAAGATACATTCACTCTTTCAGTATCTGCAACATGAAAATGAAGACTCCCATTTTAGCCAGAAAATTCTCTGAAGCAAGTTCTTTCCTGTTGCAAGCATTTGGTCCCCCAACTGCCTTAGCTGTTTTAAGAATCAACACTAAAGTTCAACTAGGTGAATGTACCACTACATTAGCTTGTACTTTTTCATTCAACTACAATTTTTCAGCTATTTAGAATCAAACTGCCCTTCTCTTAGGTTTAGACGTTCTTCACTTGTAGGGAACTACAATGCAGTGGGATGACTTATGCTGTAAAATACTATTCACTTAAAACTGGTATCACATCACAGATTGGCTCTTGAGTCTTTCATTGTAATGTCTGTTACTCCATTTTAAGTTCCACTGCAATCTGTACACATTTACTTTTTGTGATCCATCCCCCTTTATAAATACAAAATTACTTTTTTTCTTTCAGTAAACATAATCAAGTTAAAAATCCTCAATACCTGGAAACAAAATGGGTGTCATCAGGACAAAATGCTACATTTAATACCCAGGATCCATGACCACTTAATGTGCCAGCCAAGTTTGCATGTTGCCTGTGGAAAGAACACATTTTAGTATTTGGTTTGTGAATTTCAGTGAAAAAAGAAACCAGAGTATACTGTAGCTAGTGCACTCAGGAATGGTTCAATACAAGGTCATGGAAGGTGATTTCTGGACATCTGTTCATCCAGGCGGAACTGGTGTTATAACAAATTCCAGTTTTCCCAGTTCAAATGGTTAACATAAAAAGAAGTCATCAAGAAGATACACTGGGAGACAAAACAGTTTCACCATGAAGGCGGCAAAGGAATGCAGGTTTAGGGGAGTTCAGGGGAGTGAAGATCACTGAAGCAGTGCCTTTTCCTCCCCAGAAAAGGAATAGATCATAAAACATAATTTCCTGGGTACAGAACACATGTTCAAGGCGAGTGAACAAACACACAGGACAGATACAGAAAATCCTATTGCCTACAGGGCAAATATGAGGAAAGTAACTTGTTTTCAAGTTAGGACTGTCATCCACCTTTGCACTTTTTTTCAAAACTATCCAAGGGTGCAATCTTTTGTTATTTAAGATTATTGATTATATACAGAAGTCACCAAAAGCTGAAGTGACTTACAGTGCAGAGGGTTTGATGTATTTTTTTATTATGGTATCAGCCTCTCTGACCATTTTCCTGTTAGTTTTGCAAACTAAGTTTCCTGTTCATGTTTTGCAAAAGAACAACTTACACATCGTAGATTTTGATATAGCCATCATCTGAAGCAGTTACAAGTAACTGAGAATCAGGAGAAAATGTCAGTGAACGAATAGGCATCGCATGACCTGAAATTCAGAGTTATACATGGCTTAGAATGTAGCTATTCCTCTTACTAATGACAGGTAAGAAGCTACAACAGACCAGCATTTCCTGTTAAAGCACCCTCTGAAAAGTCTTTCTTTCCATGCCTCTCCAGGCTTCTCAGCACAATATAAAGTGGAAACTGAGAGTAGTTCTGAACTCTGAATGTTAAGGCACATCCACTGCAACACAAGAGTATCTTATTTCTTCAGCTGCAAATCTTTATTAGAAATCATGTTGTATAATTTCATATTTCTTGAGTGGTTAGGGTTTTTAATTAACTACATAGCTGAACAGAGACTGGATGAACATTAAAAGCACATTTATCTGTTGGAAAAATGCACATCTTCTACAACATAAAACGTTCGGTTATTTTTTAAAACAGGGATAAAGTGCTATAAAATTTATACCATAACAGAAAGAAAACTGTCATGGATGGCAGCACACATTTGGGCTAGCTTCATCCCCTTGTACTGCACTCCAATACAAGAAGGAACTGCAGTTTAAGAATTTAGTTAAGCATTACTATGTCATTTGAGATAGACACATACGATGCAAGCCTGAGTTTACAGTTTGCCTCTCACATTTTAAGTGGTTTAAGTTACAGCACATTAAATAACTACATACTGTCTAATGGACAGAAACATCAACCCACTTATGCCATGGCTGGTTTACCTTATTCTAACTTGGGTTGTATCCTCTCATTTTATTAAGGAATACAGCCAGAACTTGGGTATTGCAAATACACCTCACCTTCTAGCGTATGCAGAAGTTTTCCAGTTGCAATATCAAATATATTGATAATGCCATCTATTGCTCCACTGGCTAAGTATTTTCCATCTGGACTCTGTAATAAAACACAAGCAGTATGCATTTAACAACTGTATGCATTTATCCTGTATACCTCCCTGACATTCTCTTGGCAACTTCTCACAAATTCAGGTGATTTATTCACAATATGTGTTTAAGCCAGATCGAAGTATATTTTCCATGTATGCAGGAGGAAAACATCACATAGTTTACCTTTGGAACTACTAAAGTATGGCTATTATTTAGTATTATGAAGAGCTAAACTGACAAAACAAAAATACCTGATTTACAACATGCTACAGCAATAGTGAATTTCACTAAGAAGTTATCAATTGTGCTTCTTACATATGCAATGCTAAGGATGAACTTCCCCCTGGTGTCCAGAGAATATTCTTTCTTTCCGGTTTCCACACCAAAAATATTTACTTTCCCCACATGACTTCCTGTCGCAAGGTACTGGGAATCAGGTGAAAAAGCCAGGGACCATGCATCAACTGCATTAAAAAGAAATAATCAATTAGCCGACTCCTGTTTGTAGGTCTTATTCACCAATGCCAGTTCTGTATGCATGTGTTTAGACATTTAACCCCCTAACTACTCTTAATACTCTAAACTCTACTACATACTCTTTAAGAAGAGAGTACCAGCTCATGAAAGTTAACTTCCTTCTGTGTAATTAATGGAAAACAGCTTGAGCCATTTATTTCTGTTCAGTGAAAGATGACATTTTCTAGTAAAACCCTGAGCTTATTAGACCCTCCCTGTAACAATAAATTTAGAATTTAAGACAGTGTGAGTTAAGTCTAAATTCTTACTTCTCTCCTGGTACCAAAAGATGTTAAACCAGTAAAAGAAAGACACACTAGTATCTAGCAAAGCCCAGAAGATGCAGGAGAAACACAGCTATACAAATGTAATATAGACCAACCATACACTTTTACAGCAGTACAGTGTATTTATCTGGCACAATGTAATTCACGGGGCGGGGGGTGTTCTATAAATTTAATTACTTAAAACACTGCAAGGTAATTCTTAAAGTAGGGACTGGAAGAATATGAAATATTTAAAATAAGATATTAGGACCTGAATTCTGGCTTGGAGCACATAACACTGACCCAGACTTCAGCTTTAGTGTGTTTTGACTTGCTCACTCAGGATTGGATGTACTGCATAAAAAAGCATCACACACACGGCTCAAATTCGGTGCAGTGCTGACGAAGACAGCTCAGACTGTCTTAGTACATCAGTTTGAATAAGCATTTGAATTATTTTTTTAAATATCCTTTTATCAATACATCAGTAAGAACAAGCTGGTTGCCATTCTGCTTTATTCATTTAGCAAAAAGCTTACCTAATGTACCTGAGAAAGCCTAAATAGTGTGAAAAATGAATGTAAAATTGGCTGATACCACTTTATGTTCAGTTCATAAAATGACTAAGATTTCTGCAAGCAAAGATTAAAAAAAAAACCCAAACCTTGTCACTTCCTGTACCCTAATTACACACTGTACGGTATTTACTACCTAGAGTAAGTACACTCCCTGTGCAGAGACAGCTTAACACTGATTTCTTACCAGGACCAGCATCGATTGACTTGATTTGTTTTCCAGTTTCTAAATCCCAAAGGCGAATGTGGGCATCCAGGGAGCTGGATGCTGCAATGGAGCCTGTGTGGCTGATATCCACAGATACCACGCCCAGCTGGTGACCCTCCAAAGTCCACTGGAGATCCAATTTTTCATCATTCCTTTTGATGAAGGGGAAGAAAAGCCTAGTTTTGAACAGCTAGGGGTACTTAACCCATCTCCGACCTCGTACAAAACAAACAAGACAACCCGCATTTGTCCATTTAGATCAAGAAAAGGGGAATCCAACTTCACCCAGGAAATGGAGAGATAGCTACGCACATACTGCTCTCTGTACGTAAGGGAA